AGCTTCCAGTAGACTTTTGTTGGATGTTGCAATAGCTTCTTTTATTTTCCGACTTGTTTTGGGTTTAATTTTTAAATTAGTATTTTTCTCAGTAATTTGGCGATATAGTTCCCAATTGGTTTTAGCAGAGTGAGGTCATGGAGTTCTTTGCAGGTTAACAACCGTAGAGAATATGATTGCTATCACTGGGGAATGGTCTGATGAGAGGTCGGAATTAGACCATTAGCGACGAAAAAGTCTAACAGATCGGGTTTTTTCTTAGGATCGTCTAGCCAGTATGTGGGTGTACCCGTTGAAAAGGTGGAGAAACCACGTCGAAGGATCATCTCATACAGAACTTAGATCCAAGCATTGAGAAATATTTGTAGAATTGGGAACTGTTAATGATATGTCGTGGTGGGCAGTATACGGCAGAAATTACTAATTCGTAATTCATCAGTTTCGTTTTGACAGTAGTTGCTTGAATTTGTTCTTGACTGAAATTTTGCTTCTCGAAGTGAACAATATCAGATTTTATTAGAATCGCTGCGCCCCCGTGGGCTGTTCCATCCGGATGAGGTGTGTGGTACAATATATAGTTCGGGACGTAGATATTTGAGTATTGAGTAAAATGCGTTTCACTAACAAAGAGTATATCTATTGTATTCTCGTAAAGAAAGAACCGAATCTCATGCTTGTGCTTCAAGAGCCTATAACGCAATCCTTATAAACCTCGCCATGGTGTTTACTTTATTTTTTTATGAGAGTTGATAACATGTTTGTAATCATGTTATTTTGATTCATCAATTGTTGAAACATATTTTTGAATTCATTTAAAAATATTGTTAAATTTCCAGTAGAGTTTTCCATGGTTGTGTTAGCCTGTTGATGAGATTGTTGTGATCTCATAACTTGTGCATATGTCATATGGTGAGAATTTGCATGCCTTATTTGGCCCATATTCTTAGTAATTGTTAGCCCATATTGATTTCAATGCGATTACCATGTGGTCTGTTCATTTGATCTTCTTTTCTTGCAATAGTTTTCTGATTTATTGGACAGCCTTTAAAGTTAGCCGTATGCTCATTCAAACAGTTAGCGCAAGTTGCTGGAGTTTCTAGAGACTTAGTACATGACTTAGAAAGATGATCATCTCCACATTGAACGCACATGTATGGCTTATAGCAATAAGTTTAGCTGTGTCCATAGTCTTGGCATCTACTGCGCTGGATAACTTGTGAAGATCGTATCGTTAGTTTTAAGTGTATTATTTTATTTAAAATTTCAATCTCTTGCTTTATTTCAACAAGCACTTGCCACGAACTAGGTTCAGAATTTAGCCATGATAAAGTTATACTAGAATCACCCACTGTATGTTTCTTTTACTGCATACTCTAAACTATTTCTTACTTTATTAAATGAGCGAGCTCACAATAGTGCGGCACATAACTCTAGCCGCAAAAAGGTTATTTGTTTAAGCGGTAGAACATATTAATTTTGATGAGCATGTCTCATCCTGATGAATTACACATAAATATAAACACGTGCCATATGCTTTCATTGAAGCGTCCGAAAAGTTGTGAATTATGCGTTTTTTTATTATATTAAAAAGATTTAATTGCCAAAGTATTGATACCTGCTGTAAAATATTTAATTGTTTTGAAATTAATTGTCAGTTTTTACCGGCTTATCCCAATATTTATTTTCTCTCCATAATTGCTGCGTAATTAATTTGAAAATTATAACTACCGGAGTAATGAATCCTAACGGATCGAATATACTAACTATAGATGATAAGATTTTGCATTTAGTTTGAACAATTATTATTATAAAATATTGTGTGTGTATGTTTGAAAACATTAATATAAATTTTGAAGTTTCCCGATGTAGGTTGTCATAAAACTCCTTAAGTTTTAATTGTTTTTTCTTTATCAAACCCAACATTTATATTTTTGAATATGTTTGTATCATTAATTAATTCTATGCTATTGCTTGACCACTTATGCAATTCCAACTTTCCTTCGGCTAGACGCTAGAAGATTATTAAATTGCTCTATTCATAATTTTGCATCCGATAAGGTGTCTGCACCCGAAATAATATCGTCTGAGTAACAATCTGACTGTAGCATTTTCGAAGATTTTTGATATATTTTGTTATAATCTATAGCCAAATTTACTAGATATTTTATTGCTTAATATGGCGCGCAATTAGTGGCATATGTAACAGTATTTAGTTTGTAGCATTCTACGGGCATTCTGGGCGCCTCACGCCATAAAATTCTTTGACAGTCCTGACGCTCAGTTTAAATTTTAATTTGACGGAACATATTTATGTCCGTTATAAATACAAGTTTGTATGTCCAAAATCTTATAAGTATGTTAAATAAATCTTTTTGTAAACGCGGTCCCGGCAGCAGAATGTCATTTAACGCTAAACCATTTGATTTTTTTGCCAATACGTCAAAAATTACTCTCAGTTTTGTGGTTAAACTAGCTTCACATACTATTGCATGGTTGCCAACAATAATTATTTCCTTCTAAACTTTTGTTTTCAATTTCGCTTTTGTCGATTTTGGTTGCATGACTTAATCTTATATATTCTCTAATGAAATTTTCGTAATCTAACGCTATTTCTTTATTGTTTCTTAATCGTTTTTCTAAATTTAATTCTTTTTTATAAACTTGGGAATAAGTGGAGTCAAGAGAGTTACACGGATTGCTTCTAAACGGTAGCCCGACTTCAAATCTATCGTTTAAATCCCTACTGACAATTTTTTCAAATATGTCTTCCGCTCGTAATTCATTCAATGACATGATACTTTTTTATTTAATTTTTCGATTACCCAAAACTTTTTGAAGTAAAACTTCTTTAGGCGCGACTAGGGTGTAAATCCGTACAAATGCAACGGAAATGCGTTACGGCAGAACTGTACGTCATTCGCTTTCGATGAAATAATTTCTATATGAGTCGATTGTGATTAGTCGTTGCATGCGTTCCGATATCAGCAAGGAAATCGACATAGATAAATAAACATTTTAAATACATCGTTGTAAGCGCAAATTGAATTAATGCCTGAATCAGAAGAATATTATACCCTGTTCCTTGAAAATAATAAAACAAACTAGTGGGGTGCATGGCATCGTGCCTTGAGGAATATTGCTGAAACTTCCCGTATTAAAAATTTTGGTATGGAACCCAAAAAAATTACACAAAATGTGTACACATTATTAAAATCTCTATAATATATCTCATAATTTGATGTACATATGTCCAATAAACATTTTTGACCGCCAAATGACATTTTTTTAACTTATTTTTATTTTATTGACAGTCCCTAACCGCTAGACCTGCCTTCCCAAAAATTGAATCAGTTTTTTATCTTGTCAATACAAGTAAAATGTTTTTTGAATTATTAAAATCGGAGACTCCGTTCTTTTAAAAACTGAGTTGCCGTTTTTGGCGCTTTTTGCCCCGTATCTTCTGCCTTTGCCAAAACCTAATCAGCACGTCTCCTTATCAATACGAATCGAATGTTTTTTGAATTGTTCAAATCGGTTGATCAGTGTTCCCGAAATCGTCGACAAAAATTTGTATTTGCACACAAACGCACACACACACATACACACACACATACACACACACATACATCCATTTTTTTCTAACAATAAGGTGTGCCAAAATGTCAGAAACAAAGTTTGAGTTTTTTGCGATTACTATTACTGTAAGATGAAGAAATGATTAAATTTTTGGGAAGGCATGTCCAGCGGTTATGGACTCTCAATAAAAACTACGGGAGCGCATAGCATCGTGCATTAAGACAAATTGCTGGAACTTCCCGTGCCAGAATTTTTTTTTTATTGAAAAATTTTTGAAAAAAAACTATTTTGAAAAAATTAGATTTTTGAAAAATAAATTTTTGACAAAAATTTACTTTTTTTTGAAAAAAAAACTTTTTGAAGAAAAATTTATTTTGAAATATTTTGGAAATCCTGAACTTTTTTTCAAAGCAATCGTACTGCGTTAACTGCATATAGACGAAATATCAAAGCGCGTAAGCGCCGCGTCGCCGTCCAAAGGATAAACATTGGTACGAAATCGGTACGAATGTAAACAAAATTGGTACGAATGTAAACAAAATTGGTACGAATGTAAACAAAATTTATTCAGCACGTCTCCTTATCAATACGAATCGAATGTTTTTTGGATTATTCAAATCGCTTCATCCGTGTTCCCGAAATCGTCGACAAAAAATTGTATCCGCACACACACACATACATCCATATTTTCTAAGGTATGCCAAAATGTTCAGAAGGTTTTGAAACGTAAAGATATAAAATTTTCATTTTCGATTTTTTTGCGATTACTATAACTTGCCCTACGGGAAGTTAATAAGTTAATAAAAATGTCATTTGGCTGTCAAAAATGTTCATTGGACATATGTATATCAAATTATCAGATATTTTATAGAGATTTTAATAATGTTAACACATTTTGGGTATTTTTTTTTTTTGGGTTCCGTACCAAGATTTTTAATTACGGTACGGGAAGGCACGATGCTAATTTGCCTTAAGGCACGATGCTATGCACCCCATTAGTTTTCGATTTTTTTGCGATTACTATAACTTGTCCCATGGAGGAAGTTAATAAATACTAGCAGGCAGCATGTTTGTGTGATTGTTCTAGCATTCGCCGTCAGAGTCTTGTTTCATGTTGAAAGCTTATAATGCTAACACGACTCAGCGAGGTGCCAGTAACGCACAGAGTATTGCGAATTCTGTTCATTTGTTATCGGCCTGTGAGTCGAAATTCAAACATATATATATATATATATATATATATATATATATATATATATATATATATATATGTAATACCAAAGTTTGTGAATCGTTGTTTTTAATTTGTGCACATAATGTATTCAGTATAATTATCTGTGTTGCATCGTATGCTTTTGTTTTTATAAAATTCTGTGTCTTTCTTGTTTGACTACTATAGCATTTTCAAAAAAAAATCTAAACTCTATGGAAATTCATAGTTAATATATAGTATAATATATTCAAATATTTTTTCAATTAACTATCAAATTTGAACCAAAGTATTTGTTTCAAGTATAGTGAAAAAAATGAGTTGATTTAAATTCATCAGATTCAATCGAACTTAATTTGAATTTATTTTATTATTGCCAGCAATATTTACATTCTTCAACTTTGGTAAGTACTTTTTGATATATTTCTTATATGACGGCACTTTGCCATTGAGTACGATCGAGGTTCCACACACACACACAAACACACACACACAAAGCCACACACATATCTATATATATATATATATATATATTTATATATATATATATATATATATATATATATATATATATATATATATATATATATATATATATTTATATACATATATATATATATATATATATATATATATATAATTGTTAAACAATGTTTTGGCTTTACTGGTTTTTGACACTTCGGTCGTGGAACTTTTAACCCCGTACCTTCATATATTACTATCCATTCTTCGATAAATTCTGGGAAATTATAGCTGGGAATAAGTTATATGAATGGATACGGGGTTAAAAGTTCCATAACCGAAGTGTCAAAAACCAGTAAAGCCAAAACATTGTTTAACAATTATTTGAAAGTAAAGGGAAAAAGATGTATAACCAGCTATAACCTTGATTCGTATGACTTTGATATTGGGAGATAAATGGTAATTTTTGAAAAACCATAGTTAAAGTATTTTCTTCTGTTGGTACTTTTTTTAGCATTAGTTAAAAATGTAATTATCTTGTAAAATACCTTTAAAATTAAAATAAGACATTAAACCTCTTTGCCATCTGGCCGTTTCAAGCTGTAGCTGCTAGTTTTACTGAACGTAGTCAGATAATTGTTCGTTTGAAATGTGTCATTTGTTGTGATAAAATTGGTTTGATTTTCATAATGAAATTTATATTTGCTTAAACTCAAATTGGACCTTTGTGCCTTTCCCTGCTCTACATATATACTTTTTATTAAATTTACTTTAATTCACCGAATGTTAATTTAAACTTTTCAAAAAGCAGGTCAAAAAAGAAATACTTAATTTATTTTCTATCTCTCCTTGCAGAAATTTGAAAAATTTGTATAAGCTCAGTAGTATTATTTACAATTATACACAAAATCCAGAATCCAAAAAGAATCTGAAAAGCTTAAAACGTAATCAATAAGTCGAAATACCAAAAAATGACTTGGATTGGATTATACCATGATTTCTATAGAAAGTGTATAAAACTTCCAATTTGATTAAATTGACAAAATATAGACAAACTAATGGGGTTTATTGTTTTGATAATACCTCATTGTATATAGCATTCAAACAACACATCCTTATACACTTAAACACTTAAAGTATTAATATTTTTGATTCTCTAGAAATTGTTTAGAATATAACTTACTTAGCAAAACAACGCTTGCCGGGTCAGCTATATATATATATATATATATATATATATATATATATATATATATAGATTCAAGAACTAATATTCTATCACTATATTTAACATAAAGCAGTCGAGTAATTTCAATTAGTGCCTTTTTATTGTCCAATCAAAGCACATTTGCGGATAATATATATGCCAATTAGTTGTAAACACCTGAAACATTTTATAAGATATGTATAAAGAAATTATAAATTGACAACAATTAATATATAACTATTTACATTTTTGTTACAAATTTTGAGGTTATGTTAAGAAACTATATTTCAAAATATTTTATTTTATTTATTTGTTGATGATTATACTTATTGCTGATATTTAGAATATAAAAACCTCAAATACTCTATTTGAATACGTATAAACAAATATACATAAATACCTTAGTATATAAATAATTACATTCCCATTGCCAAGAAATAAATTTCTTCATCGTCCATCTGGCATCGCTTGCTATTATTAAGAATTAATATACTTGCCACTTCGTAATAATTTTTCGTGGTTATTAAAAAATTTATATTATTTACGTAATAATTTTCTAAAAGTTTTTTTTTTTTTTTTTTTTTTTTTAAATTTCAATAATTATTACAACTGCTAATTTATTAACATCAAGTAATATTGATAAATAATAATATAAATTTAAATAAATAAAAGAGCAAAGGATAAAATTTACATAAAAATAATATCCGTAATATGATTTAATGTAAAATATAAACAAATAATAATAAAAATAAGATTAATAAATAATATAAATAAAATTTTAGAATAATAAAATAATACTAGAAAAATAATAAAATATAACAAAATAACAATAATAGAAATAGTAAGATAATATTAATAATAATAATAATAATAATAATAATAATAAAAATAATAATAGTAATAATAATAATAATAATAACAATAATAATAATAATAATAACAATAATAATAACAATAATAATAATAATAATTTACAAATTTATAAGATCGTTTGGAATTTTTCGTTTTAGTCTTGTTGGGCGCGCTTCAGAGTATACTTTGTTGGCCAAGTAATTTGGGTGCTCGTCTATTCTTTTTTTGTAGTTGTTTGTTTTTTGTTGAATTTCTTCATTTACTGTCATTATGTTGCTGTCCTGGTGAATCAGCAAGTTGGGAACGTACCTAGGTGCATTCAGTGCCTGCCTTATGATCTTGTTCTGCACTCGTTGAATAATCTGTAGGTTGTTTTTTTTGGCGGTGCCCCATAGTTGAATCCCATAAGACCACACTGGTTTAAAAATACATTTATAAATAATTAACTTGTTATTCGTCGATAGTTCGGAACGTTTATTTAGTAGCCAGTAATGTTTTTTGAATAGTTTATCAATCTGCTGTTTTTTCTTGTTAATGTGAACTCTCCAGTTCAATTTTGTGTCTAGGTGTATTCCGAGATATTTTACGCTATCTTTTACTGGGATTTCCTGTCCATTTAACTTAATTGTAGGGCATATACCAGTACGCAGCGTGAAAGTGATATGCGTAGATTTTGAGCCGTTTGTCATAATTCTCCATAAAGAAAGCCATTTTGTAGCAATATCTAAATGTTCTTGTAATAGTTGCGAAGCTATTGCGGGATCTTTATTGGAGGCAATGATACATGTATCGTCAGCAAATGTCGACACGCTTGTTCCGGAGTATAAAGGAAAATCCGCTGTGTATATAAGAAATAGAGTTGGAGAAAGGTCGCTTCCCTGGGGCACCCCAGAAAGGATCTTTCTTCTGGTCGACTCCTCGTTGTTAATGTTGACGAAAAATTCCCTATTTTCAAGGAACGATTTTATTATTCAAAATATCGGTTCTGATAAACAGAGTTTTAGTTTGTACAACAAACCAGTGTCTAAAAACACAGCCGAACAATATTTTTTTGCATGGAACGATTCATTAATTATATTTACTAGGCGATGTACCTGTTCTATGGTTGAGTGTTGTTCTCTAAAGCCGAATTGGTGATTTGGAATTAGGTTTTGATTCAACAATTCTGACTTAATGCGTTGGAGTAATAATTTTTCAAATATCTTCGAAACACAAGGAAGTAGGCTTATTGGTCTATAGGAAGACAATAAATGAGGATCTTTCCCAGGTTTAGGTATAAGAATTATTTTAGCTATTTTCCAAGCTTGAGGGAACACTTTTAATCTAAGAATTGAATTGAATATTATTGTTAATAATCTAAATCCCTTTTCTGGCAGTTCTTTTATCATTTTTATCGTAATTTTATCTGGTCCAGGAGATTTATTAGGATTTGCAGCCTTGACATAATTTTTCAATTCGGTCACCGTTATGCGTTTTACTATTTGGCCTGGTATAGATTCATTCTGTAAACAATTATGAATAAAATCTTTATCATTTACATTGCAACTGCGGGGATGAGGCTGGAATATATTTTTCAAGTGTTCTGAAAATTCTTCCGAACTTCTTGCCCAGGAACCATCAAGTTTACGCACTGGAGGTATATGTACTATCGGCCTTTTTAATCTCTTCGTTGTCTTCCAAAGAGAATAATTTGTGTCTTTAGTGGATGAAAGATTAGTTAAATAATTTTTAAGGTATTCATTCTTATATTCATATAATAAAGTCTTAAGACTCCTGCAGGCACAGTTAAATTTGTTTTTATCGGTCGGTGATCTTGTGGTTTGCCATATTTTTCGCAATTTGCGTTTTTGAGCTATATTTTTTTTTAATGTTAATAGGATAATTAGGTTTGCTACATGCATTTGAATGTATAGTAGATTTTTGAGCTGCTGATGATAGTAGAATTGTGAAGTTTGTTATCGCCAAGTTTAAATCCTGTTCATTTTTAAGAGGTATGTTGCAAGAAATTTTTTCATCAATTATCTCTTGGAATAATGACCAATTAGTAAATCTATTTGTGAGAAAATATGAATTTTGATTTACTTCTGTAGTTGTAGAATATTGCAGAATAATTGGCGAATGATCAGAATTTAAATCTAAATTTGATTTGATATCTAAACAATTATTGTTAACGCCTTTAGTTATGAAAAAATATATTAGATCGGGGATTTTGTTAAGATCTGTTGGCCAATAAGTAGGCTCGCCGGTGGATAATGGCTTAAGATTGTTTTTTTTCATCGATTTATAAAGTTCTCGACCCCTAGGAGTGATCAGTCTAGAACCCCAGAATGTGTGCTTAGCATTATAATCTCCTCCCGCTATAAATGAACTGCCCAGCGTATTAAAAAAAATTATAAACTGATCTTCGGTAATCCTGTGTTTAGGCGGACAGTAAATGGCTGATAATACGAGCTGGTTCTGCGATGGTATAGTAACTGAAATTGATGTTGCTTGAAGAAAGTCCTTCTGGAATGGTTCAGCCTCATGATGATTTATGTTAGCTTTTATAATAACCGCAGTTCCTCCATGAGGTCTTCCACTTGGATGCGGAGTATTATAAACTATATAATTTGGTATACGTACGGAACTATTGTTAGTGAAATGTGATTCCGATATAAGCATGATATCTATATCGTTGATTGTTAAAAAATATTTAAGGTCTTGAGTGTGGTTACACAAGCCATTTGCATTCCATAAACAGATTGTTAATTTGAAATACATGATTTGTTTGCTAGAATGGTTGTGAGTAAATTAAGCATAGTGCTCATTTGTTCAGTAAGTGTTTTTATCATTTCTTTTAATTCTGACAGATCATTGATATTATTAATGTTTGTCGAACTCTGA